TCAATCCTTTGTACTTTCGTTCCTTTGGGGCTTAATACAGCGCTTCTCCTCTATGGGAATTTCCACCGCTATCGTCATCTATTGACCCCTCCACCGCTATCGTCATCTATTGACCACTTCTCGGAAGCCTGAGACGACTGCAGATACAGCGCCTACGAAAATTCCTTTATATAATCGTTCCCCTGGACGAGCTATTGCACGTTCTGGCTCTTCCATTTCTTCACGCTTGCCTCTCAGACACATGCTACACACAAACCGAACGAGAACATTTCTTCACGGCTGCCGAGAAAAGGGTGCGTTTACATACCTGGACGCAGGCGGTCGGTATGCAGCTTAAGATGAAAACGAATACAAAACGAAACGGCTTCTAATGGCCAACGGAACAAACATTATAGAACGCTCCAGCTATGTGAACCCAAATCGAGAAATAAACATGATGAAAAGCCTAGCTCCAGAGCTGAGCAGGAGGAAGAGCCACATGGGGAACGTTCAAGAACATCGAGGCAGCAATGAAAAGAAGATACCTGCACCATGCCGACCTCTTCAATAATGCAATCCTTCCTGTATTGACATACACTTCAAAGGCATAGACTCTGCACGGGCAGAATGAGCATGCGGTCAACGTTATTCAACGACTAGTAGAAAACAACCGTTGTAGTCACCTCATATGAGCAAAAGAAGGGAGGGATACGGACTCCCGAATGAGGTCTATGGATCAGCGTTGTCGCTGTTTTCGCCTAAAAATCGAAGTGGCCCGCACACACCGATTTCATGTCAGAGCGGTACCGAATGGACTCCTTGAGACGTCAAACGAACATCAGCACGACTGCGGGCACGATGATCAGACTTCTTCACGATTCGTTGGACTACCCTTGGACGCGGCAGAAACGGATGGAGACGTTGCCGCAGCTGCATCAATGATCAAAAAGACGAGGGGTGATGCGAGGGCAGAGAATAAGATATGAGACACATGAATGTAAATGTAAGTAACTACAGTATACATAAGTAAACCGGTCGAGTTTGGTACAGAGTATTTGTAGTGTAACAAGAATATCGCCAACATCAATGGTACACCAACAGTGGCAATGCGTTGCTGTGGGAACCACATTGCAGTTCCTGTGCTGAACTCAATTTCGCCTTCCGAATATTGAAGACAATTACTTTGCTGAACAATCATGTGTTTGAGTCGCTCGTTCCGAAAACTGCATATCGAAGCAAATTGGTGGAGGTCAAATGATATTGTGAATTTTTAAGTTCAATGACTGCACATTCAAATGTGTTACTCGGAACTGCGGTGAGAGAAGACGGTCAATTGAAAAAGGGACGGATATGATAAAATCGCTAGTAACGTCAAGCACGAGTGCTCTCATTTGTCAAGCAACACCTTGAACATTACCCAGCAAGTTTTATATTCAATTCGACGAGGCCAAGGAAGAATCCAACGAATAATTAAACCTGGTAGAAATGAGACAGTGAATAAGTGAAGACGATACTATCATTTAGTGTTTTAGTGAAATGCACACATAGAACATTCTTCTTCATCCTGAGGAGTGATGATAGTGAACAGTGAGTTTACGACTGGGACTCGAACTCATCGGCTATTCGTCAGAGCCAAAGTTTTTTTTATTGAATTTCTGTAAATTGCGCTCATCTTGCATATGCAGTGAGACCACATGTCAGCATGACTTATAGTGCCTACTTATGCTGATGTATAGTCCTCTATATATATCTCACGACAACGATGTCGCGCTGGCCAGTCGAGTTGGAATAAATTTTGTGGCCTGCACTATCAGCTTAAACAGGAAACGTCATGCTGATAAAAGCTGTGGAGCGAATGCGACAGTGACTTTTGATACCTATGACCACAAATACGTAACGATACTGGGTTTCAGGCCGAAGATGTTTAGGGGACATTGAGCGTAAGATTTGTTCCAAAACTCTGGAGTGTACTGAGCATAAAATTGAAGTTGGACAAGCGCAACGCTGCAAACAGCTTCAAGGGAAGTAATGGAGTCAATCGCTTCCTTCTAATCTTTTCCGCTGCTGATTAGACAGTAGACATGCAGTGGATACAATGACATATCAAGATTTTAGTAGAAGGTATTTATTTCCAAGGCGAAGCTAAACCAGTGAAACAGTCCCGAGCAATACTTCATCAAAATCACTGGCATCTATGCGACATATTAATGAATTTCGAAGAATTTAGATTATGGTGCGAATAAGATGTCACATTGAAAGCCTAGGCTTTGAACTTGCTATAATCTGACATAGTCTCGGGCACAAACTGTAGTATGAACACCTTTAGCAGCATATGCTCAGGATAAAGAACAGGAAGGATGGATTTGATAAGGAGGACACTAACTAGTTAATTGCCCTATAACATGATTATTGTGATGTGTGCACATTATGGTCGGGTAAGTATTGCATGAAATCCGGCTCGTCTCGAGAAAGCAGTACCAGAATACTTTCCACCGACGCAACGGCATCGCCTGCACCGCATATCGAACGATAATGATCCCTGATGGACGCAGTTGACCCATGAAACGCAGATCTTCGCCACACTTCAGACTGACTCCGGTACGAAACTTCATTAACAGCAACTCCGCAAGAGATTTGCCTTCCGATTGCTTTTTGATACGCTTCAATGTCTCCATTTTTCAACTTTCGCAGATCAGTGTGATTGTAGGATGGAACCAGAGCTTTGAAGATGCTCCGTGAGAGTACAGAAATACAGTGCGCGTCAATTTTATATGCCATTCCCTATTTTTTCTGTTATCTCGGTTCCTACTCGCTACTGTCACATGTGACATAGTGCGCTACTATGGACTGTGTCAGAGACTCACATATACGAGACATACACCTGTTCGAAGAAACAGCTTCATGTTTACAGTTCATTTCAAAAAATGTGCCGCGTCAAAATTATATGCCATACTTCAACACTTAATGAAAAAACAGGAAAAAAGTACAATTGGTTAAACATTAATACTTAGTTGGACCACCTTCTTTACGAGTAACTTCGAAGATTCTATTTGGCATACTGTCAACAAGATTTTTAATAACATTTTCTGGAATTGAGTTCCATGCACTCAGAATGGCTGCTCTCAGCGAAGATACATTGTCATACTGAACCGCTCCGGCGAAGACCCTGCGCACCAAGATACCCCAGAGATTCTCCATGGGGTTTAGGTCCGGGGAGCATGGAGGCCAGTCCAAAACGTCTACATGGTGATCCCCTAGCCACTCCCGAGTTGAACGCGAGACGTGTGCAGGAGCGTTATCCTTGTTGGAAAACGACTCTTCTTCGCCTGTGATCGTGAAGGTAAGGAAGCAAACTGCGCTGAAGAATATCTTGATACTCTTGCGAATCCATGTGCGTGGAGACGAATTCCATATTCAGCGTTCCATAGAAAGAGAAGGCCGCCCATACCATAACAGTTCCTCCGCCAAATACACGTTTCGAAAAAATCCTGGGCTCCTTTCGTAGATCTCTCCAGTAGTAAGCATGCCCGTCAGGACCATCCAGATTGAATTTCTTTTCATCGGGAAAAATTACCTGAACCATGTAGGAGCTTGGTAATGCACTTTGTAAAATGAGTCGAAAACCTCACCTTTCGCCAGTTTCTTGAAAAAATTTTTCTCGCAAACTCGAGTCGGGCTTCGCGATGGCTCCTGGTCAGACGAGGAGCTGGCTTCATCCTCTCCCACCTCAGGAATATCTGACGACGAATAGCTCGCAACACAGTGGAAGTCGACACATTTAGTGAAAGTCGTGCACGAATTTGATTGGCACTCATGGTTGAATTGGAAGCCAATCTAGCGATCCGTCTGTGGTCGGCTGGTGTCAATTTGAGTGGACGCCCTGCTCCGCGTGCTTGACCGTAAGCCGTAGGATTCTTCACGAAGCCGTCGATGCAGCGTCTGAATCGGCCGAGTTGTTCCGCGATGGCCTTGTTGCTATGGCCTGCTTGACGAAGAGATAGAATTTGGCTTTGTTCTGCTGAAGATAGACGACGACCTCTAGGCATGGTGGACTGCTTTTGATTTCGCAATCCTGCCACATCCGTACAGAAGGCGGTAGGGCTGCGCGGATTTGAGATATTTCGCAACAACAACAGCATGGCATATAAAATTGACGCGGCGGATTTTCCCTTTCTCGCCAGAAAAAGGGCGCTACTGCAGCGTTCAAATATGTTTAGGCTTTGTTGATATTCTTGCTCACTCACTAACTGTTGGTCAACATTTCAGCTCGCAATGTTGCCTAACAACTCAGATAACAGAAAAAATAGGGGATGGCATATAAAATTGACGCGCACTGTATATAGACCTACCACTCCACCATGTAACTAATTTTCAAAGTGGTCCCGTTGTTCAGCTTCGAAGTTTTTCAGTGCACTCGGAATAAAAATGGAATAGGTTGCTCACATCACGCTGTAACCTGTAATGGTAACAGTTACTCACCAGTAAAATACGTTACATATTAACCAAACAACAAAAACACGACTTGCGGACAATTTAGTGCCAATGAGTCATCAACGATGGAAAATGACATACTTTATTTCTGGATTATTCATTGATAACAAAATGTGAAACAAGAGATCGTTACAACAATAGAAAGAATACCGTGAATACATGGTCGATGGGCAACTCCTTTCTCTCCAATGGTGTTCTATAATACAAATGCACACCTTCATCCCGTATGCTGTTAAGGACACATTACAATCAGCATATAACAAATAGGACCAAAATAACTTTCTTACGTAAGCATACAAAAAGTGGCGTCATCCTGCCTTTTTTGATACAAATGGTGAGCAGAAATTTCGAATTCTAAAACGGCCACAGCGCAAAACTCAGTGAATTCTTAAAACTTAAGTACAGATCAAGTAACGATTAAATCAACAGTGTAGGAGAGCAACATTTAGCTAATATTCCTCAAACAAGTCTTTCGTTCGAATAGGAATTGATAAGAAGACCAGTGAAAATGACGAGGAGAGAATTTGCGTTTATCCGAGTTCGGAAGAGTCGGCAAGTGGATTAGACTTGCAAAGCTCTGCGGGTATACCCAGGTAAACGCATAGTTCGCTTCCATTCATCACTGATACCATGTTTGACTGAGGAGCGTAACGTGGTCGAAATGCGACTAACTTAAAGAAACTATTTCAAATGGTTTTTTTTAGTAAATAAACAATTCGTGTTGACAATACTCACTCTGTGCTGTTCAAGAATATGTTCTGCAATCCCAGGTTCAATCACATTCTGGCGACAGACCTTGCAATGCCGCACACGTCTCGGTTGGTCCAGCATGTGCTGTCTCATAAAATGATCAATCAACACTGCCCCCTAAAAATTAGTGATTGAGACAAAAAAACTATGGAAAAATAAGACGCATCTACATGTATTACCGTAGGATCTTGACCCATCGGGGCCATACAAGTCTTGCAAGCAACAAAGCGTTTCATAGCATGGACCAATTCATGCGAGATTTTCATTCCTCCGAGTAGCTCTCGCTGCCATGGATCTGCGACTCCGCAGAGGTAGCAACAGGTAACATCACAGCTGCAACGAAATGCAGAATATAGCTCTTTTGCGCCCAAAAAAGCGAGTCACATCATAGAACTGAAGTCAACATTTCTAGGTGAAATTCTTCCCACTAATGTCATGATTAGAGCGGTCCTTAATTCCAGCAATAAAATGGCTAGATTTTGATTCTATTGATTTTATTTTTTATTTACTTCTGTCATCCGAATAATACAAAGCATAATTATTCACGACCTACTGCAAACGCACTAGAAGCTGTTCGACGCCTCTTATAGAACTACACTTAATTCTGATAGAAGTAAGATCAGATGTCGATTTTTACACCGTGATGGGTAAAAAAAGATTTTCTTGCTTATCTTTTATTAAAAACGTTGCAATGAAGCTGTGGACTGCTGACTTCCACGCAGATTGTGACATCTGCACGTAGGGGCTCCCAGTGGTCAACCCCTCTCGTATTCCTCCAGAAACCCGGGAAAGCCAGATTTGGACGATTGAACTTAAAGGAATCTTCCGCGGACCATGGACCAGTGGGCGGGGCCGGAAGTGGTTTTGCGACGAAATGCATGGTAGGTACGGATCCACATTCATGGGAAGGTTTGAAGTAAATCCTGTTCACGTTCGTGCGTTCGACACGTGGACCTGTACCTACCATGCATTCAAAAACTTCCGATCCCGCCCACTGGTCCGTGGTCCGTGGAAGATTCCTTCAAACAGTCAGAATTCCTGTCCTTTGAGCAAGACTATCACTGCTTGTTTATTTGTTAGCACACTGCACACTCGCTTCATCACTGACGAATATGCTGGACGATCAATCGAAGGAACCGCAGAAGTAAACTGGAGCATGGCGATGCCAGATCGTGCGTCAGGTAGAGCATCGTGATTGCCACTCACGAGGGTGGCCAGTGTGTGGATCATCTTGAAATAAAAAAGTAGACCTGAGCAGGGTCAAGCGTGCGGAATCCTCGACATAATGGCAGGACCGGTGGGGAGGAGGGGGAGGGGCGGATCGATGCCACGGATAATTACTGCGGAAGGACAAACATCAAGAAGTGATCCATGTTGTGCGATCATTGCCAGATAATTTCCTATAAAAATGTTACGCCGCTAACATGAAAATTTCGCGGTCCAAAGGAGTCCGTGTAGTTAGTCTACCTTGGTATTTTAATGCGACAACGTTGAAAAATCCGATATTTATACGTTTTCTGACGGACTTCATCTTTCAAATGAGTGCACTTCTATGATGGAATGTGAAACACACGACGCGTCCGAGAAAGGGCCCAGTCACCTACACACGCTTCACCTAGGGCTCTCGAGAAAATTTCGATTCAGGAAAAATCAAGAAGTGGAAGGAGTCGCGCAAAATGACAGGGACAAACCCACCATTTAAGGAAAATATGTATAGCTCTTTGCGCGAAGTTTATAGACAGACCAGTTTAGCTCTGCACGCTACCGCGCACCTGACACAGTAGGCTTCGTTAAAAATGTATGGCCTGTGCAACATTAAAATCCCACCGCCAAAGAATTCAACCCTAAGTTGCATCGGAAAATGCGCCGGCAAACCTTTCCATAGCATCTCCCCATTTTGCTGAAGTTCACCGTTTGATACGCGCGATAGAGTGCGAAGCTAAAGTGCTGCATGTAAACAACCATCATGCGTTAGATGGGAGGGTAGTTTAGCGGTTGGATGATATTTGATGCTAATAGTGTTAAGATAGAAAACCTCATCCATACATTTTTAAGAGCTCCTAAACAGTAGCGGTCGAATGGATGTCGAGACGATAATACGCGACGAAGAAGGAAATAAATGAGTTCGGTTCTTATCAAGTATTTGGTTTTAAGCTATTTCTATGTCGTTACGTATATCCCCATTAACAGTCCTTATCACTTTATGACTCCCACCAAATATTTTCCCGTCCCACCCTACACATTACTTCCTTGAACCAACTCCCCTCTGCAGCTGGGACGCGCGCCATGGATATCGTGAAATTTGCGTTTCGGCGCCTCTTACCGGATCTTATCAACCGTTATCACTTTCCGACCCCCACCAAATATGTTCCCGTCCCACCCCCTATATCATGCCCCAAAATCAGCTCCTGACGACTGCTGCGAAGTGCACCATGGATTTCGTGAAATTTGTGTTTCAGAGCCTCTTATCTACTCTTGTCAGTCCTTGTCACTTTGTGACCTCTGCCAAATATGTTCCCGTCCCACCCCCTATATCATGCCCCAAAATCAGCCCCTAACGACTGCTGCGAAGCGCGCTATGAATTTCGTGACACACCACACACAGAGCACAACCGGCAAACATAGCGTTTTATATATAGTAGGGATAATCGTGGAAGTCGGAATGGAAAAAGAGTGAAAAAATGGAACTTTTACACTTATTGAAAAAAGCTTGTGTTTCAAATCTGCTTTTACTTTTGCACAAAATTATCCCTGAAGGAGCCATAATCGTTAAAAGAGCGCCAATGCGCGAAGAAGAACCATTTTGGGGTACTCGGACAAAAACTCAACGGAACCCTTTCCGAAATGCTCAACGAATCAAGCCATTTCGAACAGAAGTTGAATTTAGCGAACCTTCTATAACAGTTTCGCATACTGCATTAACTTTTCAGACTTGACGAATCTGAAGGAAGCTATTGCTCTGGAAAGTGTTAAAGCTCGCGCTTCTCGGGAAATTTACCTCATTACTTCTGCAAAATCCTCAATGTAGCAATTTGCGATATACTCAAAAAAAAATCCAGTTGTTTCAACACTACAGAATAGAGTTAAAATTCTAGTTCTCAATGCTATATTAACTTCTTTCTTAGCTTCTGTCAATCATAAGATGGACGTGTAGTTTGAGAGGCGTACTCTGCGCAGTACTACTGCCTACAAAGAGAATAAAAGAAGAGAGATGCTATGATATGCTATTTTTATGAATAGTTTGTCATTTTTTGCTCAATTTGTTGTAGGATTCACTGCTAGTGACTTTCCGACATTTTCTACTAGTTGAACGACTTTTATGGTGGAGAGTGGCACAGCAGGTGGGGGGGGGGGGGTTCAGTGAAATTTCGGGGAGAGTTAGATAACTTTTCATACTTCGGCCTGTGAAGAGTCATTTCATAGACTTGGGCTGCTGTGAGGAGGGTGAGTGGGGGTTCCTCGACGCCTCGCTTGACCTGACGCAGAGCAAAGTGAACGACCGGTACCGTGGGTTGAGAGAGCATTCCCTCACCCATCTTTTGCTTAACACGTTGCCGACAGGCTGACGCATATACGCGTCAGAACTACGTCATTCACTTTTTTCGTGCTTGCTCTCCTTCTTCTCGGGTCTTTTGTATTCATTCTATAGATAATACACTAGCATAACTATAAACCACATAGCCGCAACAGTGGTCAAATATGCCCTGATTTAGCAAAAAAACCTAAACGAATTGAAATAAAATTCTGTGGGTTTCTCAACCCACACAGTTTTTATTTCAATTCTTTCCTAGATTTCCTCTCGCTGTCGTAACAATTCATAGTTCAGGAATTCGGAATTCAGAGAAAGATGTTGGAAGAGGTTAATAGAAAACTCCATGAGTCTCAAAATATTTGTATTTCATGTAAAAACTAAGGAGTAAGTGCTTTTTACTCAATTCGCAGCGAAAGTGGATGCTTTCTGCTTTTTCATGGTCATTAGCGTTCTTCTAATCAGAATTCTACCGTTATTTTTATAGGTAACCTCCACGCCCTCCATGCTTTCTTTCTTGTCAAAACAATTCTAGAGATCGAAGTTGTAGGGCATTTCAAACATTTGCGGAAGTAAGGTGGAGGCGGCGCGCTCGCAAAATCGCTCTTGTCCCACGTGGTGCAAAATGCCAAAACCCGCGAGTCGTAATACATGATGCAGCCTCACTTGCGCGTTTTATGCGCGTTAAATTATTGACCAACACAACCTACGTCACGCTTTACATCACATCACAAAAGCGAATAAACTGCTCTGTGGAAATGTGGACCACTTCTGCTTTAGCTGAAACATGAAGAATTTCGCACTACATGGGAGGTCCAAGACAGGAGAAAAGCCATACAGACTACTCGAACACCATTTTCCATCAAAAGAAGTGAGCGACGTACTCGATCGAGACTTCTGCTGACACCTCCCCTAGTACATTGCCGTTGCCCAGAGAACGTTTCTTCTCGGTAGCTTTCCTAATTTACTGTTATGCCATGGCAGTTCTTCAAACCCGTTTTTCACACGTCCAATATCATTCGGAAGCCTCTCATGTTTTATTTGACTGTTATTTTCCTTTTTATTTCACTAGAGCAACGTAACAATTCCAATGACACAAGGTCTGCGGTCGACAAGAATCAGCTTCACTTCAGAAAAATTGTCTCGAAAAAAAAATGACAAAATAAATCAGGCACGGTCATAAGAGTCATAACTTGGTTCGAACTCGCACCAGTTTTTTCACGCCTCGACAGTGAAAACTTTTGGTCTTGATTTGACCATATATCAGATAACCATGAAGTCGGAAATGCTTTGAAACGCGCAATTCCAAAATCCTATGGAGGTGAGATAACCGATCGACTTCACAGTATGGGAGGATATCAGCGTTCTTACACGGCTGTGGCTACAAATATGTTTTGAAATAGAAGACGTACTCATGACTCAACCTAGTCTTACAAGGAAGGTCGTTCAGGGTGTGGAGCGCTTTTTCAAAACGGTTCCTTGCATGCTGTAGAGGCTTTCACGGGGACTACAATACTTTCATTTCCGCTGAGAGGCCCCCTGAAGGTCCAAAAATGGTAAAGAATTGGTCCAGGGTTCGAATCCCTCCTGATGACAAAATTTTTGCATTTCAGATAAGAGCTTCGAAATTTGCTTAAAATAGCGCCAGCACCAATATTAAGTACCGCATTTGTTATCAAGACCATGAATCAGTACTACACTCGAACTATTGCCAGAATCTAGCGGAAAAAAGTTGTAGCGTCAGAAAGACGCCAAGTGGCGTTAATTGAAACTATCGGAAAAGATTGATGTCATTTTCGTGATCAGGGCATTCGATTTTCTCTAAATTAGAAGTTCTAGAGAAAATGGCCATTGATAGGTTAGCCGATAGGTAGCAGCTGGTGAACTCAAAACGAGTTCCTTGTTCTCCTTCTCAAATAATGAGAAGTTCCACTACTAAATGGACAATGGCAGACACCCAAGCTGGTAATGGGCAACAAGACACCATGACAGACTCTTCCCTCCATCAGGACGTGGTAGGTTGGGCCCACGGGTTTCCACTCGCTCGGCTGCATCTCGATAGCCGCATCGATTCCTAGGACTGCGATGTGATGGAAGATGTTTAGTATATCTCTGAACTTTGATTCTCGTTAATCAACAAGGCATTCCGTTTGATTTCCGCGTCTTCAAGTTGCCCCTGGCATGCATGACGACCTCTAGCCCATGGTCACCCACTTGCGCGAAGCTAGGTGAAAATCTTGATTTTTTCCGAAATTCTGCATGTGGGGGGAAATCATAGTCCTGATCACGAATATGGTTTTCGTTTTTGGCCTAGGCGCCATTTGGCGCCAGTTTAACGCTGCAAACTTATCCCACCAGTTTTTTATAGAAAATCCATTTGTAAGAGCTACTGGGTGTCCTGACTGTGTAGCGCTAGTTTTGACACTAAAGCAATTTTTGTGCCAGTTCGGAATTGTTTATAAAAATGTAAAGACTTGCTGTAGGGCAGACTTGAACCACAAATCCGAACAAACTCGAGTCCAACACGCCTACCCACATTGACACACCACTCCGCTGTTACGTCTACTTCTTTAATCTATTTCAGTCATTAGACTACCAGACAGACAAACCGACACACTGAAAATTAGAGCGTTATAAAATAGAAACGGATACGTGACCAGTTGATATCTCATTTCCGATATTATTTTGCAAATCGATTGCTGCCTAACAACGTTTGTCACAACTCTGATTTCAACCGACGCTTCAGACATCGATGCCTAGGCGGACTGGCCAATTCCGCTACTACCGACTGTACACCGAAACCTTGAAATTCTTCTTCTTGTACATTAACCCATCCTGATTGCCGTCATTTTCTTTTCTCAGATAGACCTATAATTTTTTTCCTGACGGATATTTGAGCTTAGTTGTGTCCGTCGCCACGCACAGTCACTTTTTTGCAACTGTATGGTCTTCCGGTGTTCTCATACTGAAAAAAACAGTGAACTCAATAATGACGTACTCAACTCTCATAGATCATCTTCCTCATTGCGCATAACCAATTCCTCAACCGTACCTATATTTGAACGAGTCCAATGATATTCCTGACTGTATCACGGGGGGATATCTAACGCCACCTCCAGAGCAGCCAGTTTGGTTATCGAATTTGCCACACGCTCCAGCTCTGTCGTGTGCGTGCCAGAATGCGCGTCCGCAGGTCGGCACACCGGCGCACCGTTCTGACAAATTTCGTCCTCTCCTGCGTTGCTCTCGTAAAGCGTGATGTATCGCCACCATTTAACACACCGTCAGTTGCCTACTGCGCCCGGCTCACATTTCGCCGAAAGATGACAGCAGGGGAGCCAACTGACGATCTGGGAAAACAGTACTCAAATTGCGAACATCGTCGAGGACGCGCCTCGCGCATGACTACTTTGGCCAACACCCTTACTCTGTTCGACCTTCTCTTAGCCATGGTCGCCACAGGTAACATCAC